ACCAACAGAAGCTGCAGATATCTCAAGACATTAAAACCCTGCATTTTAAGCTCGATTGGATCAGCTCTAGGATTGGGCTTTTAGGAAAATTAAAAATATCTATATTCCCTGTCTCCTCTTAGTCTTTGGATTTTATAATTTTTGGAAATTTGTGTCTGGTCCTTTCTGAGGACAGGAATTACAGATAAGTATAGTTTCACTTGGTTCAGATCACTGACTGTGAAAAGTGAATACTTCTAGTATTTAGCTTTCTAGCTTAAACAGTGACTCATTATATATTTCAGATTGTTTATTAACAGTAAAATCCATTTTGAGAAGATAAAAGGTGACTTTTTTTTTTTCCAGTAGATGATCTCTGTTTAGAGTTAAAAATATACACATGAAAACACATGAACGCATTAACACATTCACAGAGCAAGAGCAAACACTTTTCTAACTTTAAAGAAAAAAGTTCAATTTTTAAAGCAATGAAATTGAGACAATTAAATAGATTAGCTGAAGTGTAGGTGCTTTGATAGTGGGATAGTGATGTCAAAATAGCTCTAAAATAGGTTGTTAATTTGACAGAGCTTTGCTGCTGGGCAGGATGTGAAACAAGTGGTTGCAGTAAAGACAACAGTAATGAAATAAAAAATGCTAATAGGCATGAAAAAAGACATGCAAGAAATGGCTGCTTCTTCCAGGCATGCAAAAAAATGCAAATAAAATAAAATAAAAAAAAAAGCTAAGAAATGTTTATTTCTCATGGTTTGTAATGGGACCTTTGGCATTCTTGTATATGTTTGTAAACAGATGTTAAACAGTAGTCCAAATAAATCTGTTATTTGCCTTTGGAAGAGAAAATGTAAATGGCAAAGAAAAGTTCTGTTTGGTTGGTTTTGGTTTTTTTTTTAAGTGTTCTTTTCAGTTTAAGCCCTCACAATTCCTGTACCTTCTGCCTCTGTCTGCAAAGTTGGGAGAAAAATTATTAGCACCACAGAGATGAAAGAAAGATTAATAGTTTATCCCAATGTCGACAAACAGATAATGAAGAACTTTCTATGTATTTCCTTTCCTTCTGGAATTAAGAGAGACATGTAAATGTGGTATATCTCCATCTAAAATGCTAAAACAGACTGACAGTTGTGATCGGGTGCTTCCTTTTAACCTTTGACTGCTTAGCTATTTCTTTGAAGTCATTCCTGCTACAGGTAGTGAAAGCTGAGTGCATGTTATTTTAGTTATTCCTCCTTCCCAAACAGGAAGCAGTTCTTTCATAACATGCATTTTTTATCATCTGATTTATAGCCTTTGTTTGCTTTACCACTTTGTCCTTCTTTCTTTGAAGGAAAAAGTCTCACATATGCATTCCTTTGCCTAAGTTGCTTCTTATTCTTTAAAAGACCTGCAAAGCTTATTTGAGGAAAAAAGTCCAGACTTCATTGAAATGTAAGCGAAATATTCAACTGATCATATTCTGATTTCACCTTTTAAAAAGAGAGGCTTATTTAATAATTACAGGAGCGTTTGGAGGTTTTGTCTCCCCCCCCCCCCCCTTGGTAGGATTAGTTTAAATGCTTATTTTCAGGAAATTTGAAGGCAACAAGGGAGAAGGTACCTTTAAAAATTATATTGGTTAACTCTTTCCAGGGATTACTTTGTGTCACCAAAGAGAACAAAGTAAATTCTTTCAGTATGGAAACCTCTGTAACATTTTTTCCCGTTGGAAACAACACATCGCCTCAGCTACAACACATCCTACTGAAGTCTTAAGAAAAAAATAAAGAAATTAACAATATTATTTCCACACAAATAAAAAGAAAGAAAAAGAAATACAAAGGTAAAGATATTGAAAATATGTTAGAATTAAATTGGGGGAGGGAGGCTGCAGTTTTGTTTGTATTTCTTACATATCCTACTTTTTCTATATTTAAAAAGGTTATATAAAAAAAATTCTTTCAAACAGTAATCTGATAACTATGCACCTTCTGTTTAGTATCTCTATATTGTGTCATAGTAATTTTTTTTTTAATACAATGACTGCAAAACCTATTTAGCATTGTCTGAATTCTGTAGTGTGTTGGGTAAGATCTTACAACAAAATACAGACAATTTAATTCTTTGTCCTGTGACACAGATGCCTAAATCTGTGACTGAGATATAGTATTCATAAAAACTGAAATAAATTACAAATTAGACAAAAATATATCTATTAGAAAATATAAAGCTTAAGCAAATTATTTTTCTCATTGGAGTAAATCTTGCCTATTCTCACAAGAAATATACATCACCTTATGGCTGTGTATCTATAGCCTACAATTGATTGCTTCCAAATTGTTTTAAAAAATAATCTCAAAATAACATAATGTGCATTTTAAAACATCTGTTATTGACAATGTCTTCTGGGGGAACAAGTATGCTAACTCAGCCTCTGGTCAATGAGAACTTAGTGTGCTAAACAACAATATAACAGCAGATGTACAATGACGGCCAGAAGGCTGGAATATTTTGGCTACTGCCTCTTCCTTTGTAACAGGAAATGAACGGTTCATGGCATAATCTGTCTAAATATTTCTTTGTCATTCTTTGCGTGACTCCAGCATGAATTCAATAAGACAGCACTTTGTTCTCTTAAAACATCCATATTTCACCACCTAAGTTTCAATGTTTCTTTTGCACAAGCAATGCTTTTGTACTGACTTACTGAAGGCAAATATTTCCTTTTGTATTTGAGTGGGGGTTTTTTTAATTGTTTTTTGCAGTGCTTAAACTAATGCTAAAATTGTGATCTGAATTTAATACTTTCGAGACATATGTATGTAAGATTTTAAAAACATAAAACCAAAACAAAAAAAATTGCTTCATTCTAGCCCTAGATTCTTTCTAAAAGATTAATTTTGAAATATTTTCATCTGTTTAAAACAAATTATATTTCATGATTTTTCTCAATACATTATTTTTTCTACCAGCTCAACAACAGTTTTATATGTTCTTACAATAGGTCTTTCCAAGGAAGTAGCTTTCTATAGTCCTAGACTCTTACAGTGAACAAAAAGTAAATTTTTGTACATATTGAGTATTTGAAGAAGGGATTATTTAGAAGAAATGCAGAAAAATTCATAGTAAATCCAGGGAATTGTATAGGGAAATTATCAGGCAAAAAAACTCCTAAAAGGAATACTATGAAAATTTTATCAGATAATTAAAAAAAAAAAATTAAATTTCTTTTTCCAGGTGCATGCATAGCAATACTATTATAATACTTTTGTAAACCTCCATGAATTAAAAGAAATAATTTTTTATTGTCCTGTTTATTTGTTTGTCATTGTTTTATTTTTTTTTTTCCTAACCAGTAATAAAGCATATTTAATAAAGATGGATTTTTTGGTTGTTATTAAACAATGATAATGACATAGCCTATTGATTGAGAACACCAGATTCCACTTAATGAGAAGAAATTGTTCTAGCTTCTTTAGTAGAGCCACTTGTATTTATAACACCATTTTTGTCCAGTGCCTTAAATGCAATGTGGGGTTTTTTTTCAGATTTGTTAGGGTTTTGATAGTTTTGGTACATTCTCTTTGCTATAGCACTAGATATTCAGCTGCAATCTCCTACATTATGAAGCAACAACCAGAGACTTGCCTCAGATGTGCCATTTTGACATTTCAAATGCCATGCCTTCCACCTCTGTATTACTTCTTTTCTCTGACTATACAGAAAAACTTTGTGCATCTATAATAAGACTTAACATAAAGTGATCAGAACTAATAACATCTCTGGGAGCTTTGCTTTGATACTGAATACATAAAGGAAAACTGCATCATGACTGGGATGCAAACTCCTATAAATTGCAAAAGTTAGATGTATGGTATCTATATTTTTTAATGCAGTTAGATGTCTCTTTCTATGAATAATATTTTGATCTCCCAAAAGATGACTGTGGTTTTGTATGTCTAAGGTTGTCATTATAGACTGACACACTGCAATGTGAAATCTATTCATAAACTTCAGAGCTACATTGTCATTGCATATGGTTGCCTTAACGCACCTTTAATGGTAATAGGGCTAGAGCAGAATTTCCACTTTGGTTTAGGTGTTGTTCAATCTGAAGTGCTTAATACAATAATCAAAAGGTTTAGTAGTGCTCTGGACATTATACTGTCTGTATTTAATTAAGGAGGTCACACATTTTTGACAAAAAAGTTCTTTAAAGGTTCTGTAATTCCACTGTAAACACACTGCCATCCTGCCATAATGCAAAAAATATAAAACATACTTACAAATTTATGCAGACTGAAGAACTTTTGCAGGACTGTCTAGAAGTAACTGCAGATACTTGTGTTTGATTAAAAAGGCAACTGTAAAGATAGACCTACTTGTACTCTGTTTCAGTTTGCCTGCAGAAATCACAAGCAGATTTGTATTTCCCAAAGGATTTTTTTAAAAGAAACTTAGCTGCAGTATCCAAACAGGGATTTATTCAACAGTTAAGACAACGGTATATCCTGGCACTGAGCAGCCTTCTCTTTATAAAGTTGTATGATATCCATGTCATGCTCTCCTTATCCTACTTGACGGCAAACATCTGCACTCTTATTGTGATTAGGAGATGATATCTGTATAATTATATATTGCATATTTCTGCAGAACAGTATCTCCTTATATCTTAGTATATAGTATATAGCATATCCTTACATCTTAGTATCTCCTGCCTTCCCTTGCAACATCTTTTACGAGCTTTAAGGGTATATTTCACAGTTGTTGCTAGATGCTTTTAGATGGAGCAAAGCTTCATTTCAGAAGAATATTTTAACAGTCAAAAACTTCAGGGCTAATACCTGGTATTTCCTTTCGATCAGCCAAAAGGACATGACAATGCAGAATAGCATAAAGATTTTTGTTTCAACTTTATAAAGCTTTCTGAAATTTCCCAAGCACTAAAAACTTTTCCCATTTTCTTCTCATAATTTTTTATGACTTCTAACTGGTGCTTCCTGTTTAGCAGTATAATAAGCAGATGTTTTGTTTTCTGTTTTTTTTTATCCAAGCTCCAGTTGGAACAGACATACAGTTTAATGTAAAAAATGGAGCTATCATCATCCAGTTATGATGTTTTACAAAGCCACCGTATTATCATATTTGTTTCTCAGAATTATCTAATCTGATTCAACTTATTTTATTTATATTTCAGATTGAACTGTAGCAGCAATATTCTCAGTTTAAAATTATTAGTGTATGCCATTTTGAATAATGCAAGTCAAAAGCTTTTATTGAATTAAAAAACATTCTCTATTTTAGCATCATCAGTTTGTATCACAATAAAATAACAATTATGATACCAGTGTCTGAATCTTGGTAGCATCTATGCTGTCCTCTACCATTTTAACATTGTGTCAGTGCTGATTGCTCTACAGGTAAAAGTTGCCGAAGAACTCAAAACCTGAAAAAAAAACCAAAACCCTCTAGAAAAACTGTCATCAAACTTGCATTTGTATATACATTGTAATAAAAGTAAAATATATATTTAAGAATCAGCCATGCATGTGCAACTTTTTCATCTGTCACTCACAGGCAGTGTAGTAAGGATATCCCCATGGTGAACACTTCTAAATTCTAGTGAAAATGTGGTCACAGTGTTTGTTTTCAGTTCCTTGATGGCTATTCTGGATTCTCTTTTACTCTGGATGTTCACCTATTTTATATTTCACTGGTATTAGCTGTGATTTCTGTTGGTAACAATGTCATCTGAACAATCTGCCTTCACTAGGACAAGAGCTACACAAGTGGTTAGAATTAGAAAGATTTGCTGGCGTAAAATCTTTTCCAGAATGGGAAACTTGTAGGAATTACAGTGAGCTGATAACCTCCGGAGATTTTGGCATCTCCTCTACCATAACTCTTCCTAAAAAGAAGCAAACTGAGAACAGGAGTTAGAAATTAAACCTAAATAAATTAAAAACAAAGAACCCATTTGATCTGTTGGTTCATCTTTTTTTCAGAACTAGATGTCTAAATGCCAATATTTTCATACACTGATTTGCAAGCTTTAGGACATGTACTCTTCATAGCAAGCTTTAATACTATATCATATATTCATTATATTTAAATACAGTGATTTCCAGGAAATTCTGAGTTACAGTCAGTTGCTTCATTTATTCAAAGAGCAGAAAAAAGCTTAATATTGGAAACATGCGGTTTTTTGTTAGATTTAGAAAAGAAGTGTTCAAAGAAATGAAATACATCTGCATTTTTCACTTAAAACACCAAAACAGTATACACTTAGAAGTTTAAAAGTCCATACAGACTTATTTCCATCTAAGTAATGATTTCATACAGGATGGCTGAATGGATGCACATCTATATCTGTGAGATATGTCATAGACATACAGCGTGGAAGACAATAGTAGACAGTGAAAGGGAGTCACATATATAAGATGTTAGAACAATCTTCAAAATTTGGTTGCAAATATGATGGTTTTTTTTTTTTTTCATTTCTATACGGTTCTAAGTCAAACACAAATCCTTAACCCACTTTCCAAAGTCTGTGGGTTGAATGTGGGAGATTCAAATTCCAGCTCTGAATTAGGGTTCTGAGTCCCAGAGCAATCATTAATGCTGAAGCATAATACAACTATGACAGTGTAAGAGATGTGTATTTATATGCACTGCTCATGAAAATCCCAAACAACACTAATGGTGTTTTATTTGAGAGCCTTTGATGTTAATAAGAGATAGGCTTATGCCAAGTCTGGTACATCAGAGTTTGAATTGTATAAAGGCAGCAGCCACAGCAGCTTTGTTCCGCCTGAAGGCTTATATGTTGAGAGAGATATTATGCTTACAGTTGTGAACAGTGTAAAAACATTTTCAGAGGCCATAATGCTGTTTCATGTCAGTTATTTGTTGAACAGGGCTAGCAACCAGCTGACAGTTTTCAAACTAATGGGAAATGAAGCAATGAATTTCCTCCCCATTTTTATACCAGATACTCTAGTTAGATATGTCCCAGTCCTAAAAGACTTATTGTATTTATTATTCTATTTTATAATCTAGTTAGAAATATATATTCTTAGCCTCCATCTTATTTTGGATTTCTTTGAGAAAAACATGAAATCTTATATTCCAAATGGATATCCTTAAGAATCACTTTTGTTTTAAAGAGGAGAGAGTTAAAAAACTTAGACATACCTGTGAATAAGTAATAATAATAAGTAATAATAATCTTATATATATGGCTTAAAGTTATTAGTAATACAATTTTGAAATGGTCATAATGAAATTATAGGAACTAAATGTGTCAGTGTTTTGGGAATTCTCCCAACCCAAAGAATTTCCATTTTTTGATCAATTTAAGCTTCTGAAAACAATGCTTGAAGTCATCATCCCTATACAGTCAGTCACCTAAGTTTAATCAACTAAAAATTAGTTGTCAACACTTAATTAAACCACTAATCTGACATTACAGTCTATGAAAATCCAGGGCCTGATTCAGTTGCTTATGCATAAATACTTGGTAGTAGTACAGATGTTCCTAGGTACAGAAGACAGCTGCGTAAGGCTTGTACCTACAGCACACAGAGAACCACACACTTCAGATTGGCAGCTGAAAGCAAAGTAGAAAACCGGAGTACATCTATGCTCTGTGTTCACATGTGGACAGATGAACCAAGCCTCATTGAGCTTAGAGGGGTATTCAGGCGAGCTATGCAGAATGTGGGTATTTTAGAGTGAGCTCAGTAACTACCTAAATCTGCTGGCTCTGTTGCTGAGATCCTCACTGATTATAATACAAGTGTAAGTGACTAGATTACATCTAAAAGTCTACACTTTGGCATTAGAGCTGAAACTACTCCATTTGACAAAGGTCTGTATTCAGTTGTCTAAACAGACAAGTTATCCCATTTGAGATTCACTAGAACACTACACTCAAGGTAGCTGCGCACATCTGGCAGAGGGCAAAAGAGAGACCTAAATCTTTTCCACCTGCAGGTGAAGAAGAGGTAGAATGTTTCAGGGCACCCAAAAGGGCACTCATTACCTTTGTTTATGTAAATTATCTAACACCAAGAAGTCTGAAAATTTCCTATGTATTTTCTTGTTTAGTAGTATTTTTGAGAATAGCATCTGTTGTGATATGCCCTTTATTCTGTTTTTCAGAAGAGATATGTATGCATTTAATCTTATTTCATTTTAAAATAAACTTTTTATTTGCTAGATTTGTGCAAATTTTGCCTAACCCAAAATATACTGGCAGTGGCAAAGTAGTCAATGATGAACCTGATATCAACAATATACTTTGAAGACAATGAAGAAAATTAAATTTATATTTAACTGTACTGATTCAGAGGAGGTCCATGGTTTTGAATTAATATCTCCTCAGTAGGAATCAGCTTCATTAGTATGTCAAGTTTTACAGTGCTAAATCAATCTATCAGTGCAGTCATTTTTATAAAAGAACAAGGTTTACCTATGGTACCAGCCATGACAAAAGTGTGAACACATTCACATAATTAGCTTCCTAAACAAACAAAACCCAATAATTTTATGCCAGTCTCTTCTGCTTTGATTTTTTTTATCAAATTCTGTATCACTTGTGCTTTGAATTTTTATAAAGCTCAAAATGTCCACCTTTAAAATTTCATGTCTAATCAGTTTTCATGAAAAATCAATACTTGAAAGAACTGAACTTCAATATTTCAGAAAATACCACTTCAAATAAAAAAAAAAAAAAGGATCACATTCAGAAGTTTGGCATACAATTCTAAATACAATACAAAATATTGTAAATTAAACTATGATTATGTAAAATTTAAAATTCAAGACAATTACAATACTGCATGTAAGTATTGTAACTATCCCAAAGAAAACATTTTTGTACTATCAAGATAAACCAAAAATGTTTAAATGCTTCATGTTTCTGTTTGCCTTTTTCCCACAAAGCTTACATACCTTCAGATCACCAAACTTCAATAGAATTACTTTTGCCAATAAATCCTACTCGATCCTGTCCTTGCATTAGAATTTCTACCCAGAGACACTTTACAGCTTTCCTAATCAAATTACTTTCAACTGGTGACTTCATATTAATTAAAATTGAGATACCCAATGCACTTGTGTCCTAGATAGAGAACTCTTTTCAGTGCTTACATCATTGTAACATACATATTCTTCTGGGAAGAATTAATAGAAGCAGGAAATCTGCTAACATTTAGAATGCTAAATGAGATTACTGATTAAATTCCTTTCCTACAAATGCAACTTTTAATAAAAAAAATATTTATAGGACCTAGAAGCACCACAGAGTAATGCAAAACACATTTTATAATGATGAGCATGATAAAAAGATTAGGTTAATCCCCAGTTTTATCTCTATTTGATTGTTTATATTAACTCATCAGGTTAAGAACTGGCAGTGAAAATGTAATTTTTCTTTTGTTCTAGCTCGAGTGATTAAAAAGGCTAACTCACTGTACTAGTGACTGAGCATCATTAAATTAATAGTTTTATAGGTATAGAAAATTTTATACAAAAAACCCTTTAAAAAGTTATTGAAGTCATAAAGGCAAGTGTTTTAGAGAACCATTATTGCTGAAATTGCCTTAATCAACCCCAGGGAATATCAGTCTTAGAAAGTTTCACCTGAAATGGTAAAAATCTTATAATGAAGGAAATAACAGAGGTAGAGGTTTATAATGGTTAGTGCAGGCTAAAAGTAACTGTAAGTTGTATTTCTTGTTTCACCTACGACAGAGGCCTGATTCTTTTTAGAGTTCCCCGAGGCCGATTCTAACGAAATTTTAGCAGTAATGCTGAAATCCTACTTTATCACTGTGGGCTGTGGCTATCTGATATAACTTAGTGGCCCACTGTGGTAGTTTTTGTATCTGGGAGAGGCTTGTTCTGTAGGCAAAGTAGAATTTATTGTTGAGTCACGCTTAAGGTTTGGTTACAGTAAATCTTACCGAAACTTTGTAAACTATCCTCTTAAGGTTTTTGGTACCTTTATGGTACCAAATGGAAATCATGGTATATATGTCTTCAAAAGGTAGGTATGACCTGGAATCAAAATGGTAAGGGTCTGGAACCAGAAACTGATATAAAATGATATAAAAAGACACTTTATTTAAACCAAGTCCTGTTGCTGTTTGTTTCTCTCTTTTTTTTTTTTAAATCTTTTCCTCCTTTTTATTCTAATACTGAAATAGTTTGTTGACTGATAGTTTCAGTCTGAGATACTGACATGTATTGTATGAAAAAGACATTACTTGTATTAAATTAAATTACTGTGGACGGCTTAATTAAAATTAATAATTTCTAATAACAACCACCTTTATTTTCTAGGTGAGCAACAGGTTAACATTTTTGAAAGAATATTCTGAAGAAAGTCTACAGAATATTTCCAATTTAAATAGGATTATGTAAACAAAAAAATTTGCCTGTTATGTTTATGGAACCTAGAGTTAGGTCACATTAAACTCCCTTTTCAATTTAAATGAAAATTAATGTAATTCTGTTTATTGTGTCATTTATCCTTACAATATTTAGATGTAAAATTAAGGAAGGATCAGGTAGATACAGTATTTATTTCTTTGAGAGGGTTTACTTTAAGAAATTTTCAAGTTTTTAATTTTCTTCAGGGCAGTGTGCTTTCTGCATGTTTCGGAATCCATTAGATTTCTATCTTAATAGAAGCCTGTTATTTAAATTTTGATTATTTCATTCTGGATGGAAATAAGTCTTCTCATTCCTAATGAATTCAGACAACTTGAACAGGTTCTGGGAAACTGCACACAAAAAAAAGAAAAAAGGAGCAAAATTATACATAACAGTATTTACTCCAAACTCAAGGCCTTGAAGGGCTTGAACTTATTTGGGTTTAGTGTTTGGTTTCTTTAGGAGGCATACATACTGTGTAAGTGTTTCTAAAACAGTCCATAGGTCTCAATCCCATTAACATAATTCATAGTAAAATTCTTCAGGAATTTAACAGAAATGCCAGTATAGATGTCTATCTATCCTCTCCACAATATATTATAATGCTTCAGCATTCTTTCTCTTCTTTCATGAACACACACACATAAACAGAAATGAATGAATCAACATTCTTCTTCCTGTCAATCAGCATTGTCCTTGCTCTTCTGCGATTTATATTAATACTGGTCAGTACTTCTGTGGCATTTGCTTGAGGACTTTTTTGTATTTTGTGACTATAAGAACACAAAAAACATAGTAACTGCTTGAAATTTTCAACTAAAAGGAATAAATCATTATTAATTTATAATGTTTCTGAGCTATGTGTATCTACCCTGGAACTCATATAGCATTTAAAAAGCACCTCGTGAAATGCCCCACTTATGTCTTAGGTGCAGGAGGGTTGTACGAGTTGACCAGTGGAAAAATCAATCTTGGAGCTACCATAAGCACATTTAACATTTCCTCTCTACATTTCATATAGGCATTCAGCCTTCTCTGTCTCTTGATAAGGAAAGGGATTCTTGTAATAGTTGCTTGAATTGCAATTATATAGCAAAAACCTGTTGTTTTACAAACTGATTCTCCTGCCTGAGGAGCTGTTGCTATAAGCAATTGAATAAAAAATTAGAAATAGTGCCTCACCAACTCAAGCACCGATGTGGGTGCAAGCTGTTCAGGAGTAGTAAACAGCAACAAGTATTTCTTCCTCTTCCTGCCATATTAGCTTTATGATGATATTTTCTTGCCCTTCCACACTGAGGCATGTAAACAGGATGGTTGGAGTAAATTATAAAGTTCTTGTAATTTAGCACAGCTCATGTAATGGACTGTCTTGGTCACTGCTGATCTAAACTTGTAGTGAAGGTCATGGAATAACTTTCTGGAAGAGTGACAGCGGAGATGTTGAGTGGAATTCAGGAAATTAATTCACTTAATTTTAGATATCTGTAATATATATGTTTACACCTGTACTAGGACAGAGAGGCATAGGTAAGACAGCAAGTAGTCATACATAACATTCTTGATTAGGATGAAAAATATTAGTTCACACAAGTCTCCAGTGAGGAAAACATGATTAACTCACATATAATCATCCTGCTTCAGATACCTAAAATTACACATTTAATGTGTGTCTGGTTTCTGGTTTAGAAAACACTCAAACTCTTATTTGCTTTTATCTTTTATCTTCAGAGCATACAGGATCACTGCAGCACTTCTGGGATGACCATGAAGGTTGCTGTGAAAAGCAGAGTACTCTCAAGAACAGTGTGGTCTTTACTGCCAGATTCTTTCCCAAGTAGATTAATGAAACTGGGGCAAATAGTACCACAGGCATTGTGTCTTGTACCTCTCCTATACTGAGGCAATGAATGGAAGAAAACAAGCTAATTTCTCTTGTCACTCCTATTTTTTTTTTTGGGTTGTTTTTTGTATTTTTTTAGACTGACTTTAAACTCATAACATTGAGTCTTATCAGCTTTTGCTATTATGTGATGATACATCTCTTTGGGGCTGTGTCTTTGCATTAAACAGATTTCAGCAAACTGATAATGTTCAGTAATTAATAAAAATGAGTAAGTATCCCTAGAAAAATACATCTTGCTCTGCTTTTTCTTTCCTTTTTTTCTTTATTTTTTTTCCCTCCTTCCTCTCTTCCTTTGCTGGAAGCATCAGTCTCAGCCACAAAAATCAATCTTGGAGAGACTTGATACAGACTAACTTCTTCACTTATTCAATTGTCCTGTGTTTAACTTGCTCCTTCTCAGCTGGTTTTGGCTGGAAATGGACAAAGATGAATAGAAATACAAGTGCTTCCCATCTCACAAACCTGTTTATGAAAGTAATATTTTAGCCTTCTCTAAAATGTTTATTTTCGTACGTATTATTCTGCCCCAGGTTTGTAGCTGACTTTCAGCCACAGATGAAGCCAATAGCTTC